CGGGCGGGCGGTCAGCACTTCCCCAGGGCGCAGGCGCCCCGTGGACACGTGCGTTGGCACCAGCAGGGCGGGCGGGCCCGGAGATGACAGCCCGGGAGGCGCACTTCACGGCGACGGGGCCCTGGGGAGGGGCCTGCTCTTCGGTGGAGAAAGAATAGGGCCCCTCCCCGAGCTGAATGGGGTCGTGGGCTCGGGCGCTCGCTCAGGGTCCGGCTCACAAAGGGTGCTACATGCATGGAGGCGGCTGATGGCTCCCCGCGGGCCGCCTCCCCGGGCGGACGAGGACCGGGGGGCCCCAGAGGGCCGGGCGCTGGCAGGCGGCCACGAGGCCCGGCCGGCCCCCTCGGGCTCCGCAGGGACCGGGAGGCCGTCTGCCACATTTATCAGCGGGCGCCTGCATGCTGCCGTATGTCCCCCGACCCAGGAACAAGGGGCAGCGGCGGAAGCCAGATGGACAGGGTCAGTCCCGCCCCAAGAAGGGGCGTCTCCGGGGCAGGGAGTCACCGGGGAGCAGATGCCGGGGGCCGGCCGGCCGGCGGGGCGGGCCTGGGGAGCAGCTGGGCGCGCGGCGACGGAGGGTCACCGGCCCGGCCTTCTGGTTGAATCGCACCAGAGGCCAGTTCTCGAGACGCCGGGCCCCTGCTCACCTCAGATCCGACCTTGGCTCCGTAGACCGCGCCGTGCTGCCGCCCCTCCACCACACCCAGACTGCTTCCTTCCTCGTAGCCTTCCCGGTAGCCTTCCCCGTGAAACCTGCGGCAGAGAAGCCGCACGCTCCGTCAGACAGACTCTGCCATCGAGGCCAGGCCGACTCACAGCCACCCTCTAGGCCAGGGTAGGGCAGCCCCCATGGGTGTCCAAGCCTGCAGCTCTCTACTGGGACGGAAACCTTCTTCCCCACCCCAGCAGCGGGCTGGGGGGTTCGACCTGCCGACCTGGCCGCCCAACATGTAACCACCCTGGCGTCAGGGCTGCTGTCGGACGGCGGGAGGGAGCATTTCCTCTGGGGTTAAAAAAGAGGAAGACAGCAATCATATCAGGAAGGTGAGCCCACAATGATATATGATTATTTGCTCTTTGATGCCTG